AGGGAAAGCAATACAAAACAGCGAAAGATCTTACAGCACAATTTATGGTAGTATATGCATCTTGCCAATTTCTTTGGGTGTTTTTAAAATTTAAAGAATGATCTAATACCTTGAGACTGCTCACAGTCTCCAGATGAAGGTGAGGATGGAGACTAATGACAGAAGGTTGTCTGGAGAGGAGAGATCTGAAGTGAGAGGCTCCAGGTAATGTGGTGTATGTGTCTGGATGACAAGTGGTAACGAATCTGCTAAGAGGTCCCAGATTTGAGATAGGAAAACCACCTGTCTCCTCTCTCTACCAACCCTGAAAAGCTGAACCACATAGAAAAGGGAGGCAAACTAATTTAAAGATGGTCATATCTAACTGCAATAGAAAATCAGAAAATAAAAAATAAAAGAGGCAAGCAAAATTAAAAAGAAAATAATTACAAAAAGCGAATGAACTGCCCATTACACCAGGTTCACCAGGGGGTCCAGCAATTCCTGGTAAGCCCATCTCTCCTTTTTCACCAACTTCTCCAAGAAGTCCCTGGTCTCCAGGGTCTCCCTAAAACAAAGAAAAAAAGGAAAAAAAAAAAAAGTTTAGTCAAGCTGCTGCCACAGAATTACTTATTCTTGAGAAAAGTGAATTCTGAATCTTTGAGTCTGACAAAAAGCACACTAAAACTGATGGGAATCTTACCAGTCAAATTCAGATCAGGCTCTAAGTTAGGGTAAAGCCCTTTCTATCTCATTCATACACTCCTGCAGCCAGATTTTGCCTCATCCTCTGCCAACTACCTGAGGGTGTCCTCTGTGACATCCCCTGTCCTGGCACCTGCCACAGTCCCTGGCACAGCATTGATCCAATGCAGGGAGCGGAGCAGCCTTGGGCACGCTCTCACCAGCATGATACTCAGCACAGAAATAAGCTGTACTCAGTTACCCAGCTTGCATTCCTCTGTCAAGCCATTCAACTTTGTAGCCCTTGCAGGGTAGGTACGTGCCTAAAAGGCACAGGACAGCCTACAACATACAGGGCCTCCTATGTTAAAACTAAGTGCACTCAACTGGGCTCTGTTGACCTGGTGAAATAGGAGAAAATAATAAAAAAAAAAAAAGATATTTGAGTCCTTAAGCTAATATGACTGCTTTACATCTGCTATAAAAACTGAATATACCTTTGGGCCATCTTTTCCTTGAACACCATCTTCTCCTGGAGGTCCTGGTTCACCCTTATAGAAAGGAACAGTTGAAAACAAAGTTATTGCCTAAACTTCTCATCACAGAACTATTGCCTTGGAAAAACTCAGACTAGTTTTACACATGCTTATTAACTTTTGGACAACTTTTATGTTGCTGTTATAGTTTATTTGTCTTCATTTTTCACTGATTTGCAGTGACAGAGTCAGAGCCCTGTGAATCTTGAACACAGAAAAAACATAGATGATCAACATTAGAAAAATGAGTCAATAGTATGTCCATATAACACTAGAGATTTGGACAGTGGCACTGAGATTGTTTGGTTTCAGAATGTACAACATGTAATTACACTAACCTCAAAATAGAGGTATTCTGTCCTGAAACTTCCATGTTTATGTGGATAACTACTATATTGGTAAGTTTAGTGACTCAGTTTAGGGCCATGAAAAACTCATTGTTTACCAACAGTATGGGTACCATGGCATTTTAGAATATTTGCCTTTCTCAGGTAAAGACACTGGCAACTTGCAACTTTTGATGCAGATATTAAAAAAGCAAATGCAAGCTGTCCTATACTACTAACACAGTATTTCAGACATAGTGGTACGGTTAAGTCCAGAGCACGCACTGTGGACTAGTACCAGTAATTACTCTTCTCCAAGGCCAGGAAGAATCGTGGAATGCACCTCACTGGAGATTTTGTGCAGGAGGAGGAGATGACAGTAAGGAGCTAACAGAACAAGAGAGCTCAACAGTAAGACTTAAGTCAGAAAGGATAGAGTTTATGACCTTTTAAAAGCATTCTGGATAAAATCTGTTTCTAGCACTTTAAAAGGTTTTTTCAGCCTTCAAAGGCAGACAACTGTTTGGGTCAGATGAGGGGGGTAAGATGCACAGGAAGAATAAGCAGGGGCACAAGTGCTTGGTGAAATCAAGTGCCCAATGAGCCATCCACAGCACCAGAAGAAAATCAGCTGCTTTAGATGGTGGTACAGAAAGATACCCTGCTCTGCTGAGACTATAATGTTTCCATTATCTCACCTAGACTGGGTATCTGTACACAGCATTATTATGTGCTGTCATCTTAACAGCTGGGCTGGAAACCCTTGGATTTTCCTTCACGCTCAAACCACTCGTTCATGTCTCTCAGTGACATGAGACACTTAGATAGAAATATTTCAACATTATAATCAATACTCTTTTCAACTTGCTACAGTATTAACTTTTTTTATAAGGTATCAGAAAATAGCTTCTTATTGAATTATTCTGATAAATCAAGGTTTCTCAGCCTGCATTTCTGACACATTTGTAACATACTTTCCTTTTTGAAAGAAGATTTGCATCCATAGCTTACTCTTAAACCTTGGTCGCCTGGTTCTCCAGCCTTCCCAGCAGGTCCAACGTCTCCCTGGAATATCACAAGAAAAATAAATAATTTGATTTTAAAGGACAATTTTCCTAACAATGATGGGGTTTACAGATAATGCAGTCATCATGACAATAACAATATTTCTTAATGGCTCATTTCCTGAACCACTACCTATTTGGCTAATGAATCAGATTACTCTGATTTGCTTTTATGGAAATTTGAAAACCTAAACAGCACAAGAGAGAATAATTGCAACATTTACCTTTGCACCTGGTTCTCCCTGCAGGCCAGGTTCTCCTTCAGGGCCAGGAGGTCCCTGCATGGTACAAGAGCTACTCTTAACACATGGTCACCAATAATAATTTTGCAACCACCAAATAATACAGCCAAAATTGAAGCAGAAAAATGACATGAGACACTGGGAAAGATGCATGTCTGAAAAATCAAATTAAGACAACACAGTTCTTTGTTCTTACTAGAGCCCAATGGAAGAAAAGAAAGGAGGGTATAGGAGAACTTCATGAACTGCACTGTGGATCAGGAATGTACTGAATACTCAGCAGTACCATTAAGCCTGTACCCTTCATCATAAATTACTAGCAGGCTAAGCAATCATCTATCTTTTGTAAATCTGACTGACAACTTCATCACTGTTTAGGCTTGGAGCCAAGCAGATACAGCCTTTGGAGAACAAAGCCCTTTTTGGAGTCTTCAGCCCTTAAAGAGTTAATGGTATCAGATTGCTTCTTGTAAAGTTTACATTTAAACCTTTTTTTAATAGTCAGTCAGAAGACTGGATTTTGGGTGACTGGGGAAGCGCATTTCTTTGAATAAGCCAAATCCTTTCTGTTCTAAGTGAGTTCGTCCCTCAGCTACTTCATTGCAAATGTGGCTAATATATTCTGTCATATTTCTTTCAAAGAGATACTAAAAACAAAGCAAAAAATAGAAGCAAAAGTTAGCAAGAAGACTGCCTGCAGCTGCTTTTCTTCATCTACCATTTGCAAGGACATATGATTAATGCTGTTCCACTGTCTAACTGCAAGGAGAATGGTGCTTCCAGAAAAAAAACCAAAAAAAACCTCAAAAAACCAAAACCAAACAAAAAAACCCAACCAACAGGTAACAGCTTTAAGTAAGAATCTATCAGCAGCTCATAGTATTTAAGTCAGCTGCAGGTAATAAAAAAGTAGTTTCTAAACACATTGTCCAGGCTTATTCAGTTGCTTGAGTGTTTGTAATTACCATATAAATGATTAAAAGCTCACCTCAAACCCCATTTCTCCAATAGGGCCAGCATCCCCTGGTTGTCCTCTTGGACCCTGGTATTAAACAAAATTTTGGATGCATCATTCAATTAACATTAAATTACATTGTATAGTCTTGACTTTGTCATAACTAGCATAAAGAAGTGTATTTCATTGTCTTTCCTCCTGAATCCAACAGTGTGTACAAGTACCATGATGGCATACAGTACTGAAGACCTCATTGCCAATCTTGACACGCTGAAATAACAGAGTTCAAATAATAGCACAGATGTCTCTTCTTTTAGACCAAAAGTAAATTATTATCTAAACTAAGCTCTCCTCTTGATTAACTGAGACTTTGTTTAATTAAGGTTTCTTAGGCTGTCTGGTTTGCTTTGTCGAAAAGCCTACAGTCTGGTATGGAATTAACTGAAAACAACTACTGTGTGCTTCACTATGGATTTAGCAATGTTTATACAGAACAATCAGTGAGGTGTAAAAGACTAAAGGCTGGAGCCTTTTTGGTAATATTAGTAATTATATTATGAGCATTTTCTTATAAGCCCTACCGTAAGTAATAAATTTATTGCAGTAACACGCAGGGATCATTTCCTAAAGCAGCATGCTCAGATTCTCTGCACATGTTAGATTGTCCATCTCTGCTCACAGAGTGGGAGTTGTGTGCTGGGGGGTAGAGGTTGCCTCTAACAGCTTACAGCTGATTCCATAGCCACTACGAATGTATGTCAAGACAAATCAACCCTCTGGATGTATCCAGTCTTTGAACTTTCAGAAAGTTCATATCCATTTACCCCTTTGGGACTCATCTGTGTTTAAGTACATTCTAAATTCAAAACATTTTGTTGATTTATTATTCTTATGTTAAAGAAAGATGCTGCTACCCATATTTATGATAGAAGCCTTTTAGGCAAATATTTACTCTTTCTGGTTTCACTTCCTCTTACAGACTATGCATATGGTTTTGCTCCTCCTGATGACTTGGCAGTGATAATGTGAGTATATTCTTCCCTTGTAGCAACAATGTAAACTGTATATTACTGAGAGGATTTGCAAAGAAGGATTTTACTGAAATGCCTGACAAGTAGGTAAAGTTAGAGTGTAATTTAGATCAAGCCTGTTACTACAAATAGTTCTAATTGCTTATGTTTCTCTGCTTCTCCACCAATAATTAAGGGGTTTCTGCTCTGTGCAGAACTAGTGACAGGGCCAGAGAAACTGTTTCACTAGCTGGCTTCCACGTAGGGACCAGCTGACAGAAGATGAAATCAAGCTGCCTGGATGGGCAGTTAAAAAAAGAGCCACACGTTTCATTTCGTAACATCTTGTGTCATTTTCATCACTTCTTTCTAGCTCCACAGACGATTTTCCGAAGACATTTTACTCTTTCAGTGCTTGAAAGAAAACGTACCCTGTTCACAGGATAAGCTTTTCTTACTTCTGATGCTGCATGCGTAGATTCTATGCTGATGAGCAGAACAGAAATGTACGTTGCTCAAGAGTAGACCACTTAGATTAGATAAGCCTGATAGTCATTCTGTATATATATATGAAAATTCAGACTGCCAGAAAATGGCAGGAATTTTATGTATAAGCCTTGCATTGTAATGCTCTCAGATGTCACAACATGAAGATTAGATAAAATAAGTGAAAGAGACAAAGTGACAGGAATCCAATAATAACCGTTAGAAAATACATTTTCTGTTGACACATTTTGCTGCTCCTACAAGTTGGCAGCTGAAGTTAAGTAGGCAAGTATAGCCAAAAGAAAATTTGCCAAAAATAAAACCTGCTGTTGGTATTTTTCTAGCCCCAAAAAATGTGTAGTGGCTTTCTGTAAGCATGTCAGTCTATGGATTAGTAGAAATAATAATATTAGAAATAATAACAATTAGTAGAAACTGTAATTTATATCAACATTCACTTTCAAGATTTAAACTATATGTCATCTGATGTGCAAAATAACTTTTCAGAAGCAATGAAAACACACAATTTTTGACAACTCTGTTAGATTTCTGCACTATAAAATCACAGCCTTCTCCCAAGTCTCCCTAATCAGAGATCGCAATGCAATAGTATCCCTGTCATGGCTACACCTTGTAGCACTTTGCATATATTTGCTGCAGATCCTGCATGATCTGTTACAATATTAGCCACATAAAAGTGAGTGTGGCTTTGAAATAATAACCATCAGAACAAGAATCCATTCAGCAGAGGAATGTCTGAGGTTTATTATAACAGCCTCTCTTTTGTTGAAAATTTAACCTGCCAAATAGATGTGGTCCCTGAGTTCCTGAATAACTATCCTAAAATTTGCCTGAAAAAAATACCACTAATATCTGTACTGGCACATACATTTACATAATCCATGATTAGATGTCTGCCTCAAGACAGTGTAAAGCCACATAATATTGTGGTTCAGATTCTGTCATGCTCTCTTATGTTGTGCACCCCTTACTACAGTGCTTCCCAACATGATTAACAGGTCTCCTTATGAACAAGTTACGCTAAGCAAGAGAGGCAGACTCTAGCCCTGCAGTTTTGGAACAATTACCCCACAATTCCAGCTGGCAACACTGAATCCTGGTAAAACGGAGCTTGAGTTACCAGGGAATTCAGTATAATATGTGGAAAAAATTTTAAGCAGGCATAAGGATCAACTTACTGGCTCTCCCATTGGTCCCCTGTCTCCTGTGGTTCCAGGAGGCCCAAGCAAACCCTGGAAGATTAAAATAAAATAAAAAATCATTGGAAACAAGCTGTTTCATATTCTGTGAAAAGCCACTTCCTCTCTTATTTCTGCTCACTCAATAACTTGCTCAGAAATACCCAAGAAATATGTGCAGCCTTTTCTTCTGGTTGACGTGCACTGCCACATCACTAGCTCCCATGGCAGGTGAGGGAGCCCTGAATAAATCCTTCCTCAGTTTCTTTTACATAGGGATGGATCTCAGCTGACACACCATTTACCAGTTCCTCATCATTCTCCTTAGACTCATGTACTGCTTGTGTGCGCAAACTGGGCCTAAACACAATGTTATGAGTGTCCTGCCCTACAAACTGTATTTGAGATGATCAGTAAGGTTCACAGCCCACTTTTCTTTCTGGTCAACCTGGCTTATAGCATGTGTGTCTCATACTCTCTTCCAGAAACTGTAGCTGTAGGAGTAATAGAGCAGTATCTTGTACTTTGCAATAAATGTACTAAGTCCCATCATTTCAACACAATAAAGTTTTGCGTCATTCATTTCTGTATATATAAATAAATCTAAAAGTCCTAGCGAATGAAGAGGAAATGAAAACCCATGGTATCAAAGGTGAGAGGCAATAAGCTCCTAAATATGAGCAGAAGAGGCAAGAGAAGTACAGTGACAACCAACATTTTGAGTCTCAATTTCAGTGCAAAATCACCACCATTACTGCTTTGTTTCTGCTTTTCTGCTTCCTTCCTTATTGAAAATCCAATACAATTTGGACTGACTGGTAACCTTCTTTTACAAGAAAGCCTCAAACAGAACATGTTAGATTTCCATTAAAAGAAGCCCTAAAAGGAAGAATTTTCTCCTATACATGCGATATACATTTTACACATTTTTCTGCATTTATTCCCAACATTGATAGTACGCATCTACTTTAAAATCTATGAAAGAATTATTTTTCTATGTCACAATGACTTTCTCCCTTAAAACTACAATGAAACTAAAAAAATCAAAGCAACTTCTAGGACCTCCCTACTAACTACAATCACCATTTCTTCTGCTGCAATTTGCTATCATATTGTATTCTGTGGACCATCATCCATGAAAACACTGGTCTTGTAGCAGACTAGACCATGTTCACACTTACTCTCACTTCTGCCCCTGATTCTTTGTAAGAATAAATGCAAACCGTACTGTCAAGAGTTTTACAGCTGCTCTAAAGTAGACAAATTCCTTCATATCGGAGTGTGAAACAAAGTATGAGATTTTGTTGGTTTTTTTGGTAGAAGTACTAGAGAATTTCATACTCACAAGTGCACCCTGATCTCCTCTTTCTCCTGGATTTCCAGCTTTACCCTGGTCAAAGAGAAATATCGGAAGACAATGCTGGCTTCAGAGAATTTCCAAACACAGCTCAGAAATTAGCAGTAACCATGTTAAGGCTTACTAGAAAGATTGGCTCCAATACTTACAATGAGCCCAGGAACTCCTTTCTTTCCTGGATCTCCTCTTTCTCCCTGATAAATAACCAACAATGTGTAAATTCTATGTGCATTTGCTAGATAAGCTGCATACAGGCACTGTCAGTTTAAATGCTGGGTAACTCTGCAGAAACTGCAGATTCTGGCTTAGATGGGCTTATACCATAATAAGGAAGTACCTGAAGAAGGCAGAAATTTGAAAATCTCCTCCTGATTAAAAAGGAAATTTATGGCTTCTGACATGCTGGGTTGTTATTTTGTTTGTTTTCTTTTCTTATCTGTTATGGTCTATCTAAATGTTTTGTATAGTACTGAGCAATGCAAGCACTCACCTTAATGCCTTGTGTTCCTGGTTCTCCTAGAGGACCGTCTAGACCTCTTGGCCCCTGAATATTGAAGAAGTGATTTGGAATATTAATTATGCATTATTTTTGGTTATCATCAGGGAGATGCAACATAAGCATTAGGAGAGGGGAAACATGTTTTGTTAGCACGAAAAACACTTTTCATTGTATGTTAAGTGTGAAATAAAGCTTCAAAGAATAAAATAAGTTTCTGGTTTGCTGAAATATGAATTTAAGAAGAAAGATTTTTTGGAAAATATGTGAAGAAAATGTTCAGGTTGCTGTTGGAGCCAGCTTGCAGGCTGGTTTTCTGCTCTCTTTTCCATCCACTTTGTACATATTTAGAATTTAGATGAGCACTGGTTATATGGAGTGCTTGCTATTGAGCATAAGTTGTATATGCATAAATCCAGCTTGCTAGTAAGACTCTAAAACAGGCAGATAAAGTTCTTCCATTAGTGAACCAGTTTCAGGCAAGATTAAAAGCAATTTATCATCTTGCATAGGGAACTGCTCTATTGTTACACTAAAATGTCTCTTGCAAATTGACTTTTTATAACCAATAGATGAACAAAGATAACCTGTTATATTATTGTATTACAATATAGCAAATATTTATTGCCAAAACATTCAGAAATGATTATTTAAGGTTAGAAATCTAAATCCATTAGTTTACAAACAAATGAAAAATCCTTAAAACAGATCATGAGCAAAAATGGAAAAGAATATTTTATCCGTGGTGACTTAGGAAGTTATTTCTGTAATTCTAAACACCATGACTATTTGGGTATGGAAAATAAAATTAAAACCAGTTAATAGCAACCTAAAACCAATGACCACTTTTAAAGCAAGAACTAGATAAGTATCAAGACAGAGCCAGGCTCTTTACAGCAGTATGCAGTGGGAGGATAAGACACAACAGCTTTCCTAGAGGAAAATGATCTGCCTTTTCAGAGTGCATTTCTGAGTTGTAGAGAACCTTACATCTTGGGTCACAGTTTATAGTGCAGGGCACGGGGCATGCAGTCATGACTGATTTCCACATAGTTGTAATACTGTTCTAATAGGTAATAATAGGGGCTTGTAAAATGACTTTGTTGGAAGCACATCTGATTTTATTTAATTACTTTCCCCTCAAAAATGTCTGACTTCCATGTCCCTCTTGAATTTTTTGAGACAAAACATAGCAGAATTCTCTTCTCCCTGACTTGAATTTACTGATGCACATCAAAACCTCTGTCAGAACAGATGGTAAGCACCAGCCTGTTTCTCTCTGGAGCTACAGTGAAAGAAATGTCTGACTGGTAATTCAGGAACAGTGTGTATCCAGAATCATTTAAGGCTTTCCTCCTGAAACAGAAATCTCTCAAGAAAAGGCCTTTCCTGTGACCTGATACATAATTACAACCCCTGGCAGAGCCAGAAATATCCCACGGGAAGCTTATCTGTCAGCATTTCAGCACTGCTGCTTCTGGCCAGCATGAGGGAACACACAGAAACCATAGGAAAAGGAAAAGGAACAGGCAGGGAAAGCTGTCTGAATACTTGTGATACCTCCGTAGTTTGGGACACAGCTTTTGGGAGGCAATCCTTGGGTTAGCCTGGCCACCTTTCTTGTTTTGGTCTAAGCCAGGAGCAAGTATTTACAGGCATTTTTTTAAGCTAGAGGAGAAAAGAGGCTACAGAAGAAGACACTCCAGGTTGCTGGATGACTCTCAATGAGAAAGGTCCCAAACCAAAGGCTACTGAAGTCTGTGGAAAAAACTCCTGGTGACATCAATGCACTCAGAGATCAGAACCAACACACTAATGGTGTTTTCAAGGGCGATGGAGGCTTTTATAAGAACAACAAGACTGGGCCTCACATTAAGATTGTGTAATTGTGTAAGCCCAATTATTGAACTATTATATAGCATAATTTAAAAGAAAGCTAAACATCTTGATAAAATAAATGTCAGGTTACTGCTATGCACTTTTTCTGTTACTGCCACCTGTAATGCACAAAAAATGGGTTATGATGAAAGTTCAAGGCAGACTAAGCAGGTTTAGAGTTCCATGATCTGATATTCCTTTCAGGTGAAATGACCTGTAGAATGGAGGAGAAGGGAGAGGGGGAAACCTGGAGATGGAGTGAGGATAGGTCATTTCGCAGGGGGGGTAGAAGGGGAGAGAAGCTCATGGAAGAGCTGCAGAGGAATCCCCTAGGGAGAGGGAAATTGAGAGTGTTAAGCTAAGCAATTGGAGGATAGTTTTAGTGTTTCTCAGACTGTTTAGATACATGACCTGTCATTTGTCTTTGTGCATCCTCCTCCACAGGGCTGATCAGGGGATAGAATCTCAAGATGAAATATTCAAGGAGAAAAAAGGACACATTTTGATTGTACAGATTTGTGTAATACAGAAATTTCGTTCTATGTTTTATCTTCTATTATTAATAATATTAACAGATAAATTCTTTGAACACTTATGAATTCCTTTTAATCATAAAGGGGGTCATAGCCCATAGTTTGAGAAATGGTCCTGTCACAAAACTGCACAGGATTCTCAGTCTGTGTTATGCGCATAACACACCAAAACCTTTCTGCTAGTCACACAGATCTCCACTTCAGTGGAGTTCGCATCGACAGCCCAATCATTAGGAAAAGAATGACAACTGATTTGATCACTAATAATCAAGTGAAAAGGCCTACCATTCAAAACACCAACCTTCTACTATGTAATTTTGAATTGAAAACAAAGTAACAGAAACCAACATGATGCTCAGCTTCCGGCTCTGGGCTGTGCTTGCCTTTAGCCTACCTTTAGCCAGCCACAGAACAGACTGCAGGAATTCAAAGGAAAGGCAATTTAATATTTTAACAAAAGCACACCATAACATTCCTATAAATAGTATGGTGACTCATTATTGGCACAGATTAATTGGATCTGTATCATTTCCTACTATAGTTAGTACAGAATGAGAGATACACATGATTTGCCTGCTGTTATTTAATTTAGGTTGCAACAGAGCTGAGGAGTAAGGCTGCCAAACGATTGCTACTACTTTTTTCTTTGGCATGGGTTCAGCTTTGTTTCTAAAATGGAACATATTACATTGAAAACTCTAGGATAATAAGCTGAGAAAAAGTCCGTCTAAGACGACAAGAAGCACCAATTAACTCTTATTGTTCTTTCTCATCCTGCCTCCTAAAGATAAGAAAAGCGAAAATAACATAAGCACGCTATGTAGCTACTTCTCTCTTTTCGTGGTTCATATGCAAGAATATTAGAAAACGACATCAATTTTAGTCTCACTTCCTTTGAACAATTTAAGACAGATAAACACACTCAGCTACTGATGTATCACAAAGCACACTGGCCACTTGTTTCACATAACCCTGAAGCGCACACATTTTTCTAGGTTCCATATTCCCTGCTGTGAGGAGTATGAATGATATTACTGACTAAAACTGAGCGCTGATGTCCTTAGGTAACTGAGGTTCTTCATGCCAGTACAGATACAACTGAAGCAGAGATAACCCTACTTGCTGCCACAAGCATAAGCTGCTGTTGCCTGACCAGAAATTTATGGCACTTCACTATGTCATTTATCTGCGTGTTCAAAATTTAATTTCATGAGCTGCAGTCCAGGAAAGTAAGCACAGAAAAAATATTGCTTTTAAGCTTTAAAACACCAAACATCAGCCTGAAGAATACTAACTGCTAAGAGTCTTAGCGGCTATTGAGAATTTTGCTTAGGTCTCACTCATGAAATGAATCTAATGATACAGGGCCTCTTCCTCTCAAATTAAAAGCTACAGTTGTATTAGTCAGACATTACGGTACAAACTAAAAGCAGCACCGGTCTCTGACATTGCGGTTTTCTTCTCCAAACATTAGCAAACAAGAACAAAAAAACAACATGCAACAGTGGCTTCATGGCTGCCTGCACTGCTACAAGAATGTCTTCCACACTAATGCATTTTTTCCTTCTGGTCATGGAGAGAAATTCTTTCTCTTCAGATATTCCCACTCCCAGAGTAGAGTTTTCATGAGCTGCAGTCCAGGAAAGTAAGCACAGAAAAAATATTGCTTTTAAGCTTTAAAACACCAAACATCAGCCTGAAGAATACTAACTGCTAAGAGTCTTAGCGGCTATTGAGAATTTTGCTTAGGTCTCACTCATGAAATGAATCTAATGATACAGGGCCTCTTCCTCTCAAATTAAAAGCTACAGTTGTATTAGTCAGACATTACGGTACAAACTAAAAGCAGCACCGGTCTCTGACATTGCGGTTTTCTTCTCCAAACATTAGCAAACAAGAACAAAAAAACAACATGCAACAGTGGCTTCATGGCTGCCTGCACTGCTACAAGAATGTCTTCCACACTAATGCATTTTTTCCTTCTGGTCATGGAGAGAAATTCTTTCTCTTAGATACAGATATTCCCACTCCCAGAGTGTAATTCTGACATTGAAGTATCTACAAAGCAGTGTTCTCCCTCCGTGTTTTCATGAGATTAACACTAAAAAAAACCATGGGTCTCACAAGTACCCAGCCTTCCACATGATTGCAGCTGAAGGGCATCAAGTCTCGAGCAGGAGCTGAGGAAGCTCTGTGGCAGCACTATGCTCAGTGGCATATCCCCCCAAATCCCCTCACAGCGAGATACTCCATAGACTCCTAGACAGCCTGCCTTCAGCTAGCCAGAACTCCCGGGTGTACTGGAGACTCAGCAGCTGGATACTCTCAGGCAGAAGTAGGCTGCTGGGTAACCTTGGATGCAAACCAGTTGCTGAAAGGTCCAGAATTTATGAGATGAAGGAATTCCACTCTATGACAGTGCAGAAGTAGAGGGTCAGCGCTCCTAAGACTTCCTGCAGATTCCAGCTGTGAAGACGGGATACGTTTGTTTCAGTACACAACAAAGGGGTACTTCCATATGCTTCTATTTAATTTCTGTATGTGACTGTGGTATGCATTTTTCCGAGGCCTGCCACACAGAGCTCGAGGTTCTGACACTTCTCTTTCTGAATCCAGTGATGACAAACCCCAGGTTTCAGGGGCCCACAGATATTTTCCTTATTGGAAAGAGATTCCATTTTGGGTCTGATATTTTGATCTTGAGAACAGACAAAATTCTCAGGGGCTTCAGTGGGAGTTTGTTCGCAGAGCCTGGAGACCTGGGTCTGCTCTGAGACCCCCTTCCATGAAGCATTCCCAGTCATGCTGGATGGAGGCAAAGGCATAAACCACAGCTCCAAACTGGGACTTCACAGAGCTTGGGATGTTTGGGATTTATTTTGAGTGATCTTTAATTATAAGCAATGTACTCCATGATGTGCTGCCAAAATCATAGAGACAGACTCCTTCAAAGATTCCTGTCTCGGTTGGCAGAAGATGTGACACTCCTTAAATAAAAACTATTTATATTCTACCTTCAAAATAGAATCTAAATTAAAATAAGTCTTTCCCCCATAAAAACAATCAGCAGGTAGCTGATGCTGCTGGGAGGGAGGAGAGCCTGCAGGGGAGGACTCATGTTCATATCAGTAGCTTGACTGATTCCAGCTCTGTTGATGCCGGCAGACGGACTTGCCAGGAGGGAGTTTAGAGAGGAATGCTATGTCCAGAGGAATTAAAATGTACAACCTGCAGCAGTTCAGTGCCAATCTCAGAGATGACTATTTACACTAAATTACTTTTGAGCTGGCCTTCTAACTCACTGCATCCTATAGGCCAACAGTCAAACTGAAACTCCGGTGGACCAATAGGGCCCAAGGGATTTTCCTTTTTAGATGAAGCTCAAACATCAGCATTTTACAGTGAAAATGAGTGCATATGTGTACTCTTCATCTGATGCCACTGGCTTGTGTGTACCAATTCAGCGTAACACTTCAGCATGTATTTCGCTATCAAACATGCTCCTACCGAAATCACAGAGAGGTAAGGCACGCAGTTGTTTCATTGAATCAGAGCACTGAAGAAAAAGTGGTGCCAAGCTGCTACTTCTTTTCAGCCTCACAATTGCTTTGCATTTCTGTTTTGATTTACATTTTCAAATCTGCCTGTGAACCAAAAAGGCTGTTTTTCCCTCTGCTCCTCTACATCAAAGCAGAGATTCACGCTCCTGTCAGAAGGCTGCCTTTGTTATTAATGTAGGGCTCCTAGGAGGCCCTAGAGCCCCTCTCCACTGAACATATTGGTATAAACACCGTTTGAACACTTCAGGAGCTACTCCTCTGCTAGCTGATACCTGGGGTTGGACACTCCCGCTTACACCAATTCTTGGTAGTTCACTGTGCTTATCAGTGGGGGGTGGATTCTTGTCCTCTGCAGCTAATTAAGGTTTCTCTTTGAATTTTGTTAGATATGTTGCACAAATATATCTGCATTTCAGTTTTGCCTGACAAACAGGCCTCAATAAACTCATTTTTCTAGGCACTGACAGATTACGTATGTGTGACATATTCAGTTCAGAAAATAAGCAGATGACCTGTGAGATGTGGGAAGCATTTGCTATTTCTGCATGTAAAATTATCAAAGTAATACTGAATATTTCTTAATGTACATGATTTTGTGTTTGTTTTTTTTTTTTAACAGATAATTCATTAATAAATTCAAATGTCTATTATTAAATTAGCAAATTCATTCCCCAGAAAGAAATTTTTACTAATACATTCTTTTAAATAGGCTTTTAAAAAACACATCTATTGTAAGGGAAAAATGAAGACTATTTTCAGGAGACCATACAGATTCTCTCTGATGATGGTAGGTATGTCCTTTTCCATAAGCTGCTGAGATAACTTCATTAATGCTGAAACCCAGACTCAAAAAAATCTCCTACTGATAGGTACTTCAGACAAGCACAAGAAGTTCTAAGTGTATGTAGATATATGCTCATATCTGCTTCACCCATTTAAGGAAACTGAAGTCTAGGATAAATTATACTCTATGTCTGAAACTAAACAAAACAAAACAAAAAACCCCAAAAAACACCAACCCACTGGGCACTGCCAGCTGGGAACCTCTCTAATACAGGGTGACCCAGAACCACTATTGCAGACTTTTAACAAAATTATCTCACTGACAAGGATTTAGGGACTTTATCAGGAACGAGTGGTAAGGACTGCCCAACACTAACACCACCTGTGAAGACACACTGGTCCAGCCACTGGTACGAGTTGTACAAGTCTCACAGGAAGCCTGGATATGCTGTCAAACTGCTGGGTGAGGCTCATATTAGAAGGGTGCATCTTCACGGCTAATCTCAACAAGGTCCATAAATCCAGTGAGAATACACTTGCTCATGCTGCGAGCAAACTCATCTATACTATGAACTGGGAGCGCTTCCTGCAGGCAGCCTCAGCTCAGACTGCAAAAACATAACCAAAAAGAAACCTCCAGACAGGAAATGCAAGTCACTGGTGGGGTTTATGAAGAAAAGCGTTTATGAAAACCATGTAGCCAACCATCCCCAGGTAACAAACTGCAACACTTTCACTGATACTGATTTATGCATTGTGATCAAATGCTCATGTGAATTGATGTGGACAGACTCCCTCTTCGCTTATGTAGGCTTTGGATTAGTGTTTTGTATATAGTGAGAAAACGGTTCCCATTTCCCTGATAAAAATGCATGAAATGGAAATGGCAATCTAATCAGAGGTTTGAGATTCTAGCATACACTATCTTCTGACTTCGCTTCTTCCTCTCTCAGAACTACATTTAGGTGATCTTGATTGTCTTTCCAAAGACATAAATGAGATGCAGATAAAGAAAATAGTCCTTAAAACATTGAAAGAGTCCAACGGTAGTTATAAATGCCAACATTTGCATATTTATGTATACAGAAAATAAGGCCAGCGGTCCTTTTGGTTCCGGTCCTGCTCTCAGCTGAAATCAATGGCAAAACCCCATTTAACTGTAATGTGAGGAGAAATGAAGATTCATGTTGATTCCTACATGAAAATACAAGTATCATCTGTCTGATTTCAGTACAAATGGGTTGAGTCCAGAGGACAGAGTTCAAAGGAAGCAACTGCACATGGGTTACGCGTCAGATTCATATCGGCAACACACTACTCTGCTCTAAGTAACATGGAACAGCAATATTACTTACTCTTCTTCCCTTAGGTCCCTGTGGCCCTGGTGGTCCTCTTGTCCCTGAAGGTCCCTACATGTCAAATAAACTTATTATTCATTGTCTTCTGTACACAGATTTCTGAAAATTACAAGGCTCATGCACATTGAGCAATAGTCAATGTAACCAATACAAATCAATCACTTTCACTCATGGTTCACATTCAATTAATTGTGTTAGTACAATTTATCTAGAAAAATCTAACTAAGAGACTCTATGTAACTTTATTCTGAATAAGAAATCATGACGTGGCTGTTCAATAAATTACTTCTGTCCAACATCCTAAAATTGCTAAAGGATACCTGTATTTCAGCAGCATTATCTTAAAAAGCCTAATAATTTGTGATAAAAGATTCAGGTTTTGTCTGTACTGAAGACCTACAGTAGCCAAATTATAACACAATTATACACAGCAAATTAGAATACAATTTATTTTTGATTAACAATGAAACTGAACACATAATGAATATATTTAAATTACATTAGGCATCAATGAATTAAAAATAAAATTGTTGTGCAATTATAAACTATCCTTAAAAAATTCTATTCCCCTACTTCTCTCAATAGAGTGATTTTTAAATGGATGAGTAAATGATATAAATTAGATCATCCTGGTAAAGAGCAGGTGAACAGACTTTGTGTCCGGATGGGTAAATTTTCATGACAGTTTTATAGACTGCAGTACAAATTAGAAACCATTCTTAGCTTCAGCAGAGCAAAAAGACAATTTGAAAATGGTACATTTTATGTCAAACCAAAGCACCACTCTATACCTACAGGTAATCCTTCTGGCCCCACAGGTCCAGGGCCTCCTGGAGGTCCTGGGTAGCCCTAGAATTTAAATAAATATAGAAAAGACAGAACAGTTTTATCAAAATTCTTATTTTAACAACAATAATAAATCCGGTCACTTACCTGAAAAATTGGAGGGAAGTTAATAAAATGTTTATTCTTGCAAAATTTATTCCCAAAATTTTGTTTAGAAAACAGATATTTGTTTGGATATATCACAATAATCTTAAAGCAACCTAAGAAGTTTTCGCACACACAGGCACTAGCTGACAGGGATTTACTGAAGCAAAAGCTGCTGAGTTCTAACTGAATTTCAAAATCCTCACGTCAAGGCTGTGACAGTGGGAACAGAAAGCGGACACATCCTGGTGTGGACAGGACTGGCCAAGACAAAATGCATTCTCTATACATTCTGGAGCCATTACAGTGCTCGTTAGCAAACACACAGCCAAACCCTAACCACTTCTCCTCAAGAACTTCAACATGGATGTGACAACGGGCACATGTGTATAGCTTTTTACTTAAGTGCCCCAACAACCTACTTAACATGACAGTGACCTCTAGACTGTCAAATGCTGCATGAAACATTGCATCCTGATTTAGGACAAGTGGTGTTGTCAGGAAGCCAGTCCTCCCACCAGAGTGGCACCCAGAGGCAGTCTGGGTACTGCCGTGCAGTAGAATTAGAGGTGATGGTGGTTACCAGTCTGTCTATTAGAATAACCTGTGTTAAGTCAGTCAACACAGGAGATAGTTCATTTACTTTCCCTGCTTTATTTAGCTCTCCTTTCAGTTCATTGTGTTTAATTTTTTATGTAAGTCTGCTTAGAGCCATTTTTCAAAAATGCAGCTGCTCTGCTGCTTCATTCAGCGTATCACTTTGCAATGTCACTTCCACAGAGGGGATAAAGCTGCTAAATGAAACTTCCCAGGAACAATGCATCATAAACACTACTCTTTTCCATAAACCTTGCATAATCAGAAGAGTGAGAATTTATTACTGTTTTGGAAGGTAAAGTACCTTTGTAAATAACATAATTATGGATTCTACGTTATTTGTGACTTACCATGGCACCTTTCTCTCCAGGAGGACCTACTGGTCCTGGACTGCCTCGCTCTCCCTTAAGGAAAAAATTAAAGAGAAAATAACAGTGAGCACTCTTTCTCTGACTTATTCCATGCGCATTGAGACAGGCATATCTGGCAAAT